TATGATAGACAAATGAATTTGTGTCAATTTATAAGAATATTTTGTTTACCGCAAGTATAAGTTTAATAGTTTAATTTAAAAGTTCATATATATATATATATATATATATATATATATATATATATATATCCTTTCTCTTTTCCATTTTCCTTTCTTCTCTCCCCCTCCCTCCCATTCTTATATATCATTTCCGTTAAGTTAACCATCTAAATAGGTCAAGGTTCGGTCACTCCTCCTACCCCAATATAAAGCATGCTTAAGAGATAGAAATTAACCCCTCCCTATACTCTACCTTGTCTCTTTAACTACAACTCTCCCCCACCGTTAAATTACAAAATTAGACTACCCATCAATTTCTAATCCCATTTTTCCTTTCGTTTCGTTGTTGGAATTGTTACCTGATGATCCGGAGTCCTTTAAAAAGGATTTTGGTGAAATAAATTATTGTAATGGTACCTTAAAGTGGTCTGTTTTTCATTATATATATATATATATATATATATATATATATATATATATATATATATATATATGACAATTACATTACAATATATTAAACAAAACACGGACAAAACAATAATGATAGTCTGCTTTTGTTTACATGGAAGATTTCCAAGCAACGACAAACTCGTGCATATGAGACGCTGGAAACGAAAATCGCCCCGCAGCTCATGACGTCACACATGACCACGCGATAGTGAATTTCCGTGAGTCTATGCGTAATTTCCTCCAGTTGGTGCATTGTTTAATATATTGTCATCTTTGATAATGGCTTATGTAAGCCGAAAGCTTAGATAGGATTAAAAAAATATGTATCAATATTGTGATTTTCTTTCTTCTTTTAATGATAATGCTATTAAACTTATCGGACAACACGAAAAGAATTTACATAAAATAAATAGACAACACTTGTCTATATTATTTAATGAAAATGCATCAATGAAAAAATGCTGCCTAAATACACACAATTTAAAGAGCCTTTCTATGCAGTAGAACAATATTAAGAATTTTTGTCTTAAAAAGACTTAATTGCATCACCACGATACTGTAGTTTCATCCTCTGGATCTTCAGGCTGGTCTGTTTGTTATTATACTTCATGCCACTTCGTACTTAAATATACCACCTCTCTTTTGCCAAACAGAAAGATTGCATATAGGTTTTTCTTTTTTTATTTAATTTTACTATTGTCAATGCTTCTTACTTTCTTTCTTGCTAGAGTTGCATGCATGGCGGAACAAATAAAAAGGCATAATAGAAAAGTATTAGACAGAAGAGCTAAGAAGGAGAAAGTGTGTCATTGCAAAAATTCGGGTATGTGCCCTCTTTATTGAAATTGTCATATAAAAAATGTCGTGTATCAAGCAACAGAGAAGAGTAAAAACTGTCAAGAAAACATATAAATTGGATTAACATAAAGACCATTAAAGAAAGATATGATAATCATAAAATGTCTATGGAGACAAGAGTAGTAGCGCACTATCAAGGTATATATGCGAATTAAAGAAAACAAATATGAGGACTACGGTCGAATGGAAGATCAAGAAAACTGTTAGTTATGGAAAAGGATCAAGAGCTTGAAGGTTATGCTTGGAGGGGAAAATTAGCAATAGTAATGTACAAAACCTCAAGAAATTGCTAAAGAAAAAGTAAGAAATTATAATGAAATGTAGACATGAGAGAAACTTCCTATTCACACAATGAGAGCCAGGAAGTGGAGATTGAAAGAAAAAGCGAAAATAACCACTAATGATAAAATATTAAATAAGAAAGACAAATTGGATATTCAAATATTTTTGTGTGGTGATATAAAGCGTAACAGAGTGGCGTGGGGTATAATAATAACCACACCAGCCTGAAGATGAAAATAGAGTGAAACTTCAGTAGCGTGGCGAGGCAATATATATATATATATATATATATATATATATATATATATATATATATATATATATATATATGTGTGTGTGTGTGTGTGTGTGTGTGTGTGTGTGTGTGTGTGTGTGATTAATTTGTGGATTTATTTAATCTTATAGTAATTCGTCGAGTCTAGAAGAATCCTCAACAGAATGCAGAAAGCACTGGACGGCTGTTTCGTCCTATCTGTCCTGTGGTACAGTTGGTATAACGTTTGTGTTGTATCGAAACGGTCCGGGTTCGATTCTCGGTAGTGGATGTGCACTGCTGATGAGTCCCAGATAGGACGAAACGGCCGTCCAGTGCTTTCTGCATTCTGTTGAGGATTCTTCTAGGCTCGACAAATTACTATAGTGTATATATATATATATATATATATATACATAAATGTAATGAGAACAAAAAAAATATAAATTCAAACGTTGAAAACATTAATTTAAAAGAGGGCGCAATACCAAGAATAGAGTAATAGTTATTTATTATAAGTTGTTACATAAGGGCAAACAATTCTTTTGGCGATTTTTCAAAATGGTTAACTGCTAATAAATAGTTACCCATTTTGAAAATTCGACAAGCGTGAAACGGCGCTGTTAACGGATAAATAAAATAACAATGCTATTTTTTTTTAAATTTTTTACATGAATTTGAGATAGTGCATTCTCATATGTCAGAAGGGAATATATGAATAATATATTGTGTATTTGGGAAGTGATTCCTCTTATATACAAGTTTCATTGAAAACGACTGATAAGATGCTCTAGTTAAGTTTTTTAACCGCAATACCTTGTCAGTCGTTTTCGTATATACCTTGTCAGTCGAAACGCATATATATATATATATATATATATATATATATATAAAGAAATAAAGACAATAAGAAAACTATCATTAGCCGACGCGTTTTGCCCAATGTGGACTTTTTCAAGGCAAAAACGAAATGAATTTATTGAAAACAAAGTAACTATAAACAACAAAATGTCCTTAGCAAGTAGAGGAATTTAGAAGGCTAAGGACATTTTGTTTGTTGTTAATAGTTATTTTGTTTTCAATAAATTCATTTTGTTTTTTCCTTGAAAATGTCCACATCGGACGAAACGCGTCGGCTAATAATAAAGTTTTCCTATTGCCTTTTACCTTTATACATACTGTCTTTTTCTACAAGTTAACTCTGAGAAAATATATATATATATATATATATATATATATATATATATATATATATTGGTACTTCCACAGATTATTTACATAATTCTAATATAGTTTTAACGCTTTAACTGCGATATAAATTTCCGTCGTTCGCAATTAAACCAATAATCATTAAAATGTTGCTCATTTAATATTTACTTGTCTACTGCTAAAAGATGTGGGCAAAAAGTTCTTAAGAAACATAGCTAGAGATTAAAAATGACATATTTTACAACTGCTCTTCACAGAAGAATTTGCAGTAACCCTAACCCTGGTAAGCGATGCGCTTGATGCATATCAAGAACTATGAATGAATAAAAATTATTGATGTGACGTTCGTCTTTTAAAGTGAAATGGACCGATTTAACAAGGGATTTACACATTTTTTAAAACCAAACTACGAGGTATTTCCGCCAGTCTGTGTTGATTCTGGCATTGAACATCATAAAATGATTTAAGCGATCAGCTATCAATATTAGTGTTTCTGGCAGTATGTACATTATACATGAGCAGATTCTAAAATTTATCAGTTATGATGTGCCATGCGTGATACACGCTTAGACGATCATTTATCTTTCGATACATGACTGATAAGGGAGATTTTTCCCGCAGTAGGTTGCCATTTCTTTCTGCAGTAGACTGGTTGCCAAATAGATAGATAGATACATAGATAGATATTAACAGACTGAAATAGATAGTAGGTAGGTAGATAGACCAGTCAGCTATTATGTGTCATGCGTGATACACGCTTGAGCAATCATGTATCTTTCGATACATGACTGACGAGGCGGACTTTTTTTCGCAGCATGTTGCCATTTCTTTCTGCAGGAGACCAGTTACCAGATAGATAGATAGATAGATAGTAACAGACTTAAATAGATAGTAACTTAGGTAGGTAGATAGATCAATCAGCTATTATGTGACATGCGTGATACACTCTTAAACGATCATGTATCTTTGGAAACATGACTGACGAGGTAGATTTTTTTCCCGCAGTAGGTTGCCATTTCTTTCTTCGGTAGACCAGTTTACCATCCATCTATATCCAAGGCTATAGAATTCGGTCTATTTACCCATAGCGGCAGAAGGGCATTCAAGGGTATTAGCACGTAAGTGAATGTAATGGATTCGACTGGAATTCGAACTCGGCCCTCCGATTCCTCAATCCGAGCCGCTATCCATTACTCCACCATGCCTCCTCTGTCTAAGATCAATGCTCTTTATTTTTCAGCTCTCTTGAGGATGAGAGTGTAATATTTGTTCTTATCCTCTGTAAACTACGAGGCACCGTAGTCCCGATGATTTAAACCCTACGGCAGCACTTTCCGCCTTTCAGTTTCAGAGGGAGAGTTGGTGGATACCGCGGTCTTTGAGACAGTGGGTTTGGGCAATTTTTATCCTTGACCCAGATGTACGTCCCACGTTAAAATGACAAAGGGTCACATCCCTCCTCCATGGGGTAAATACAGTAGGTAAATACTAGAGTGCGGTATCTGTGAAAAGCGTTATCCACACAAAGCACGTGAGTGGTTTAATGAAAAAATTGACCCGACCAAAAGAGTATTAAAAAAAAAAAAATAATGATATTCATTGATTTGGTTAGGCTGAGAATTTTTCACTGTTGACTCGTAAATGTGGGAGTGCTTGAAAAATTGTGACCAAACCCATTTCTCCAAAACCTGACCAAACATCAGATTGTTTTTGGAAACACTTCTTGGTCAGAACGTGAATTTTTCCGCACCCAATCGTATATATGGATGCACATTGAGTTGTGTATATGGGAGTTGTGTGATGTTTTGTTTTTATCCTTTTTATCTTGTTCGGCAAAGGATCGATCCGCATGGTTGCCGGATTAAAGAGGTAAAAATTTATTAAATTGGCTCCACCCGACAAAAAAATATTAGAAAAAAATGAGGTCCAGGGTGAAGAAAAATAAGCTTTGTTTATTTGCGTTTGGATAGATGACTATCTGTGTGTCTCCGGTGGGGTGCCCGGCCCTGAGGTTATAAACGGGAAGCAGAAGAAAGTGATAAATGAGGACAGGGAGGAGACGAGAGACGAAACGTGGCAAAGAAAAGGAAAGAGTGAGAATGAGAGATATTAACCTAGTAAAAGAAAACAAGGAGTAGAAAGCAGATGAGATTTAGAGAGAGGCATTAACGCGAGAAAGAGAGAAAGAGAGGGTGTTAAAGTGAGAACGAGAGAGAGTGATTAAAAGAAAGAAAAGAATGAAGGGTAAGTATGTGAGAGTTAGAGAGGGAGATTAAGATGTGTGAGAGGGTTGGAAAATGTGATAAAAGTGAGAGGGAAAATGATAAAAGGTAGCGATCATAAGAAAGAGGACGATAAATAGTAAGTATGTGAGGGGTAGATTAAGAGGGGAAAGAGAAGAATGAGGGGGTAGTGAATGAGAGAATGGATAGAAAGGGTGTATATATGAGTGTTAGAGAGAGAGAGACAAAAGAAGAGGAGGTATTTGAAGAATAAAGAGTAATGATCAAAAGAAAGGATGAGCATATGGATGTTAAGAAGGGAGGTTAAGATAAGAGAGAGAGAGAGAGAGAGAGAGAGAGAGTGACGAGGAAAGAGTGGAAGTAAGTGGTACTGATCGAGTAAAAGAAAACAAGGAAGAGGAAATGTTAGAGAGAAATATAAAGTAAGGAATAGGGCGAAGGGAAGAGGGGCAAGGAAAAATAGTGACCGACAGAAAGAAATCGAGAAAGGGTAAATATATACGTATTGGGAAGGGAGATTAAGAAAGTGAGAATGAAAGTGAGTGATTAAGAGAGAGAAAGTGTTATGAATGTTAGGGAGGGGCATTAAAATAAGAGAGAAAGAGAGAGTGGGGAAGAGAGTAAACAGATGTAGTAATCGAGAGAAATAAAGTAAGAAAAGGTGTGTTTGTATTATGGAGGGAGCTTAAGATGAGAGCGAGGAGAGGGAGGAAAGGTTGTTAGTAAGCAAGGGTTTGAAAGTCAATCCAAAACCTAAAACAGTAGAGCGAAACGCGACGAAACATGAATGGATGAAAACGAGGCTAATTTATGTTAATGTTTGGAATAAGTTGAGGGATTGTTTACATATGAATATGAGACATTGACATCTCTGAAGAAAAAAGGGACGCCGCTAATTATATTTGTTTTTGTGTCTATATACGAACACAATCTATATCTATATATATATATATATATATATATATATATATATATATATATATATATTGCTTGAACGTTATTCTAATGGATACCCATATTCCAGTAGATGTTCTATTTTTTATTTATGTATTAAACTATATATTTATTTATTTACATCTACAGGCCTGAATATTCGGGAAATATTATTAGAAAGATATGCGCCCCCAGACAGTATTCGAACCTGCGTCCCCTCAGCATCTACTCAAATATGTGTATACACTAAAAAATAACGTTTAAGCAATAAATTATGTCGGATTAATAAATGAAAAATCCATTTTATATATAAATAAATATATATATATATATATATATATATATATATATATATATATACAGGGATTAATGGGCAAATTGTCACCATTTTATATTTTTTTAATTTCGCGCATGCGCCTTGTTCGTTTTTTATATTTTCGACAGCACAGGGTCTGTTGTGCATCGTCTGTGACAAAAAGACCACCATGACGCAATTGACTCAGTCAGAAATTTGGAAATGATGTACTGCTTGTCATTCGCACCGGAAGCTCGAACGTGTTTTGAGTGATCACTAGTGATAGTGAGTGATATTATGACTCCATTCATCTTCCAATAGGGCCTCAGACTCATCACAGAGGCCTAAATCAAGTTCTTTGAGTAGGTAGCACTGGGTCAACAGGGTGGCCGCTGGAAGACCTTATGTCTGCATCGTGTCATATAAGCGTAAAAACCAGTCATGGCTGCCAGACAATTTCTGCGACCAGAAACACACCTTACATCTGGCCACCTAACTCTCCAGACTGCAAACCCTTTGATTATTAATGTGTGGGACGCAGTTGAGCGAAAGACCAACAAAACTCCTTGTAGCATCAAAGATGATCTGGAAGCAAGGATTATGGCATCATTCCCCAAATTAAATATGGTGATCGTTCAGGAGAGATGCTGGAGATTCCGATGTCGTCTGAAAGACGTGATTGAATCCAGTGTCGATTTTATTGAATAAATTTACTCTTTATTATTTCAAGATATTTTTGTGTAATTTTGGTAAATATATCTGTTAAAATGAGATGTCAGTGTTCTTTTCATTTTTGCGTAATTTAGATGACAATTTATCGATCGCACCCCCCCATATATATATATATATATATATATATATAATATGATGTATAACGGAAAGGGATATATTTGATCGAAGTAGCTAAGGAGTTTTAGCTACTGTAACCAAGTAGTACACGGTAATCGACTGGTATTCGTCGTAGTCGCAGGTAATAGGTGTAGACCAATAGGATAGCCAATGGCGTAGTCCAATGGGTGTCGTCATAGATTTAAACACTGTCGTACCTACATGTCTGTCTGTATTTATGACGGACACCAGCCAATCATATTCCAGTGAGGGGGAACACAGGTGTATGCATATTCCATTATATCAATATATATATATATATATATATATATATATATATATATATATATATACGCATATGTGTTTTTGTGTGTGTATTTGGATTGCAGTCTTTCTTTTATGCATGTTTGATTGAATGCGATGAAAAAGCATATTTTTATGTGACTTTTTAAATCAGTTATTACAGATTTTGCTGACTAAAAGCTTTTAGAACCCGCCCGTATTGATTATCTTCTCAAGCGCTTTCGGACAATTCTTTAGACATTCGTTGTTAGTATATTTTCTCGGTGTTTATGTCCTAATCTATGCTGTGAAAAAGTAGTAGTCATTCTAAGTTGTGTTGGATGGAAGTAGTAACAATTCCATGTTGGGGAGCCTTCAGAACACAGCTAACTTCTGACCACTTCCAACTTGAGTTGCTACTAGGCACCTCCCGTGACTTTTGTCACGTTAGTGTAGATGTTATAGAGGACGACACAACGTTTCGACAAAGTTTTCTGCTGTCAACGAACACTCAATGCCACTTTTGTAATGCTCGTTGTAGTAGAGACTTTGTAATCGCAGATACTACTATAGTAACGCCGTTGAACAATGCTGGTGTCAGACGCCTTCGAATAAATAGCACTCGCATTAATAGTATTTGCTCGATCATACTCTCTCGAATAGTAATCCGAAAAGAGAAATAGTATAGTGAATAGAGTAGAGAATAAAGTTGCGAATATCGGCCCGAATAGTAATAGAGGATAGAACAGAGATAACGATCCGAATAGTGATAGAGGATAGACTAGAAATGGCGATCCGTATATTATAGTAGATAGATTAGAAATTGCGATCGTTTAGTCGTAACGCGACTTTCTACTTATGCGTTTCTTTCAAAGTCTACTTAATTCAATAATGGGATCAGCTAAGATTGCTCACTGGGGATCTATGTTCAAACTCAAGTGTCGACACTTTATTCTTATATAATACAAACTATCCTTAGGTCATCTTCAGACATCCATTTTGTGGTCGGAGGTGCTGATAGCGGTTATCATATATAAGCTGATTATTGTGTTATTTTCGCGCCTTTTCTTGTTCTATCTTGTTGAATTTGCCTTAGTATCATCAACCACAAGTGTAAATGAGTGAACCGAGAGTCGGAAAATATGTTTGCGTCAGTATTTCAAGTTTGGCGAGCCTGGTTCCCATAATAAAAATTGGAAACCCTCAATTTGGGCAGGTTTCAATCGCCGTGCATAGACACAGATGGAAAATTAGAAGCTATATCACGCTTGAAACAAGTTGCAGTTACTAAGTAAATCTGGCATAACGCTACAAATGTGGAGCGTCCGATAATGACTGAATTCACAATTGCATTCAGGAAACTTTGTATTACAGGCTTTTATTTTAAGGTGACAAGAAGTCCAGAGATCCGACTTGACAACAGTTAATATGTCAAAAGCTGATTTCTGAGCATGGAATCAAAACTGAAATCCATTAAATTCTTCAGATATGTTCTTTAAAAACAAAATGATAAATCTTTGGACGGCTCAAAAATATACCTTAAATAAGATCTGAAAAGCCTTACTAAAAACTGTACATCAGAATGGCAAATTGATTATATATATATATATATATATATATATATATATATATATATATATATATATATATATATATAATAAGACGAAAAATATGCAAGCAGATATGCTTAATCGATTGGAGAAGAGTTCGTTGGCATCTTGAGAGATTTAAGAATAAAGCGGGTTTAAGACGGGCTATCCAAGATCATCGCTTCTGCGTTTTTCATAGACCGTTAAGCCAAGTATTTCCTTCAACCAATGATCATTAAATACCTTTGGTTTGGAAACATGGCTTAAATAGACGGCTTTCCTGTTCGACAGACACAAAGTATATACATACTCACGAGTTTATTGACATTACTATGGTATACTTACCGTGATTAACTGCCTTTTCGTTCTTCTTTTACGTACCAAGACCTTTAAGAATGTAGGCGATCATGGCTCTCCACACTTTTCTGTATGCTTTTTGGCTATATATAATTTTTCAAATATGACTATCCTTTTTTATCCTTTTTTTTTGCCATCCATTCACACAAACTCGTGGGTTAGTCACTTTTTAGCCTTGCTTTTCTTAGGCTGTGAGAATATGACCTTTGAGTATTATATTCTCTATGCACTCTTTTCTCATTATGTGTCCCATAAATTTGAACTATTTTTTTTTATTGTAAGCATAAGTTAGCTTGTTGTTCTTTAAGACTTCTTTCTCGTCCTGTCCGTTTTATTTTTTATTTTTTATTTTATTTTATTTTATTTTTTTGGCATTCGTCGTGAGGACCACACATTTCCGTCGTATCAAATCTCTTTTGCATCTGTGCTTTCACAGGCATATTGGAGATTGGATGTAGCATAACTGTTCAGCATTCTATTTTATTTGCTTTATTCCCGTTGTTTTTGTTCTCCTATGATTTCTAACATTTTAATTATGTCCTGGAAGACATCCTCCGCTTTTTTTCTTGTTCTTGTCAAATAAAACTTTATTCGTTTTATATATTCTATATTTTCATATAGACAAATTTACGATGACTTTTCAATATGATTTAACACATACAAAATGAATCCCTTACAAACACAAAAAAGCTCGTAACGTGTTTGTTCAGCCATATTGAATGTACTTCTTTGATAAAACTTTGGAATGTACCCTCTAAATGATTTCATATCCTTGTTTAAATACCCACACACAGAAATACACATATAAAATCAACAATCAACACCATCATTTGACAAGACCCCAGAAGTGTTGAAACAAATTTTTTGTAGTGATTTTTATATAAATATTATTCGCTCTACTTTGTATTGAGCACTTTTGTGTTTTGGTTACTGTACTTTTATTCCATCTATACCAACCTTGTATTCGGATATATATATATATATATATATATATATATATATATATATTATACAATGTTATATTAGAACGTGTACATACCTACTACAAAAGAGTACATCTTAAAATTAACGTTTCTGCAGGTGGGAAACCATGATGGTACTTCTTCCCACCTGAAGAAATGTTAATTTAACGTTGAAACAAGATGTACAGTTTTGCAGTGGGTATGTACATGTTCTAATGTAACATCGCATAATAAGTATTTATTGCTCTACTTTTGTAATGAGCCCTGTGTTAAATTAATGTTTTGAACGTTGAAATTTTACTCTTCCGTTTTATATATATATATATATATATATATATACATAGAGAGAGAGAGAAAGTGAGAGAGAGAGGTAGAACATCACTTAACGAGACATATAGGAAAGATATTCGCCGAGAGACATAGATATGTAATTGGTGTATGACTATATTTGTTTATATCTGTGTATACGAATCTATAATTCTAATTTCAATAATAACCCGATCATAGTTCAGAATAAAAGCAGAATGGAATCGACAATA